CAGTGAATAATTAATACATTTACAGTATTCGGATTCTTGTGGCCCAAATATGTAAGAACATATTTGTGAAACTTTACGGTGAATTTTTACCCGTCACCGTGATTTTTCACAAATATTTATACAGGTAGTGATAATTGTGTTTATTTGGTAGAAAATTATCAAAAAAATGAATAAAAATATGCTTAATACTGTCTCAACATTATGGCGGAAAAATCATAGGTTTCAAAATGTCAATGTGTTTCGACCGGAAGTGATCATTTTCACAGATTAAGCTATTAACTGGCAATGAAAAGACCATTGGTTGACCTTACGAGAATTCTGAGTTCTTCCTGAGAATTACGGTGTTTTCAATGTGTCTTTGTTTTCACTGATTCCCATGGTGACTGTATTTCAGCACATCAAGAAATGTCACACGTGACTTATATTACAATGACAATTAAACAAAATATTTGAGTGAGTTTTAAACTCATGACTCGATTGAAATTTCACGTTCGCTATGGGTTCCATATTCATATGACGTAAACAACGCGTTTGTTTGTTTGTTTTTTACACGAGGTTTGAACGCGTGGTGTAAGGCGAACACCGGCCTCTAAACAAAGTTGGATGATTCAGGATGATTTCTCCCAAAAATCGAGAAATAAAAAAAAACGCGTTTTTCTTCTATTTTTTCAGTTCTGAGAAAATTGCTACTTTCAAATTTTCGTATGCACGTGGGCGCTGGGCGTTATGGACCAACATCAAGCACATGACAAGTAGCACATGACCCATTCAATAAATAAACAAAAAATGAGCAGCACCATTTTTTGGGTTGGAATCGTGACAAGAGGTTAAATGAAACTGTATATTGTCAATTTAATAAAGTTTGCCGTCGTGGTTGAGGTCATTTCAGCGCGTGCTGTGTGTTTTATCTGTTTGGGACTGGAACCTAGGATTGTGACACTGGCTCCACCCTAACTTTGTGAGTGTGATTCTCTGGTAATAGAGAGTCCGGGATATGAGACTTCATCACACCCAGGGGAATAACAGTCTCTGGCAATGGAGTACCAGGAAATATATGGAACCCTGGTTTCACAATCCCATCCCGGGGAGTGGGGATCCCTAGTAATCGAGAACTTGGGATTCAGGCCCTGGTTTCACCACGCCCCTGTGAGTTGTTGAAATTCGTGCCAAGGAACTGCCAACCATGAAACCGGTGTCACAGCCACCAGGATATTGTCGATCGATACGATATACAGCGCAATGGACAAAAGTATCGAGACTCTATTGTTCAACAGGCACGGTTTAGCTACGTGACCACAACGTCAGTAAATACTGGCACGGGTGAATAAGTTTCTAATTACTCCGCTAATGTCGTTATTGATCTGACAAAATTAAATTCAAACGCAACATTAAAATACCCAATTAATTTAGTATCCTCGAAGGTTTGCGGGTTTCGGAACGCATTCATCCAAAACCCACTTATTGTGGTATGTTACGCAGTTGTCTTTTGTGTCTGGCTTATTACAAAGCTTGGCGACTGCAATTAAAATTCCATTATGTTCTCTAAGTAAACTTCTCCACAATTTCATAATTGCAGAATTCCCTTTTGTTCTATTCTATCGTCGGCTTTCTTTCAAAACTTGTTGCACGCACGTGTACTTTTAAAGGACCGCCTATTATCTTAATGATACCAGATAAATTGGTGTTTTTTCGTATCACTGGGGCGTTTAAAATGCGATAGTATCTGCATGTACGTCGACGCATTGGTGCTTTCAAGGGCTGCTCATTAGGGGCAGGTGGAGCCAAGTATGGGAAGTATATATGCCCGGAGGGCTGAAGTAACTTATATTGCCCTTATGGAGCCTATTTGTGCTATGGTCATTTATTTACCAATGTCTCTCTATTTATTCAGAACTTTGAGAAGGAAAATTTAAGTTTTGAACATTTAACTTCTGGTCGCAGTTCTGAGAACTTATCAGCCATCCAAGTTAACGAGTCCATGTACACATAAACGGTAGAGGCGATTTGCAAAAAAAGACTCGTATTCACTTGTAAATTTATCTTTAATTCAGTTAAATACTACTAGTAATTATAGTGCATTCGGTACCGAGCCTCAATGCAATCCGAACCAAGACAGCAGCAGCTAATATAGTGCTAGATACGCAGAAAGGTGAATAATGTAGAACACGTTGAAATAGATGCATGCAATTTTAGCGGATTTGACTCTTGGCATGAATTAACAGAACCTTAATTTAGCTAAAATGTCGACTGTGAGAATAGACTTTCTGTTAAATTAGATGCATCTTGAATTAGCGAAATTACAGATTAGCTAAAATAACATGCTACCCAAAAGACGTGTTTTACAGTAGTATTTCTGTTCGATCAAGTTAATCTCTGAAAAAACTGTGCTTAATTTGGTCTAATTTGTACATACAATACGGATTTTTAGTTCATAAAATAAATTCAATGAAAACACCCACCCACTTGTCCCGCAATTCAGTCGATATTAATACACACCCATTCATTGGCAAACAGATTGTCAGTCACGTACAGAGTTTAAGCTTTCTGGTAAATGCAACGCGTTGACCATTAAAACATGTGTGAATCGACAATACATGTTACAATTGTGTGTTTTCCAACTATTTGCTCTAAAACTTTAAAATAAAACAAATAATTATTAAACTCTTGAATTCCCAGTGAAGGAAAAAGACTACATTAAAGGGACATAGTAGCTACGACACTTCAAGTTCGACGTTAGTTCCAAGCGAAGTATACAGTGTAACAGTGCGTATGTGCGAATATGAATGTCATCTTTATATTGTTCAGTGTCAGAATAACCGGTGTTAAACTTCATTTTTAATACATTATGTATATCATTTATATGTACACCGATCCCTTCATCATGGCACTAACGCATATATCAGTCAGTTTACGCCTGTACACTTTGTAGCAGGAAACCCTGATGCTTCAGACGTACCTGAGTGACGGAAAGTATACGTTTGTTAGGGATGGCGGGGGTATAAAAGTGTTATTTAAGTGTTATAATAACATGTTTATACGTTTAACCTCAAATAGTAGAATAAGTATTTGTATTAAACCAAATAATTAAAATATAATAACTTATACTATATTATCCACGCATGTTTATATTCAAGTTCATATTTGTATTTGGTTAATTACTGATCATAAGAAACATCCGTGCACGTCAATTCAGTATTTTTTTGTGATAATTATACTGAACAATTGCAAATGTCCTATTTTTTCATTTATGTGGAAAAAGGTGCGAACTGTATGTGTTAAATGTGAGGGTTCAAAGATTAGGCGAAGGTGACGGGAATGAAAAGTATTGCCCGCAACTTGAGTTTTAGCTTTAATCGTGTCGTTTTGATGCATCTATGAGTCCCTCACTCCACCCCACT